GATTTGGTGATGGGAAACCCGTGGGGATTACAATTGAGATGAAAAAAAAAATGTGCAAAATGATGTAAAAATAAACTTTTTAATAAAAAAAATATATATCCCAACATAGAACTGCCCACGAAACAGTCCATTAGCAGGCCTCCCTGGTGGCCTAGGGGTTCAATCTCAGCACTCTTAACCCCACTGCCTGAGCTTGATTCTGGACAGAGCTGACCCACAGGGCACAGCAGACCTCTCCTGACCCGCCCACTGCTCCCCTCGGCAGTGTACTTCGATCTGCCTGTTCTGCTCCCCACTCTGTCTCTGGTGAATCTTCTTAACCCTCACAACTCTGACCTACACCCCAGTTCTCCTTTAAATAAAACTTTAAAGAAAAAAACAAACAAACAATTGAGTGGCTCAATATTCAAAACCTCACAGGCTGCTTTTTTGTAATTATTTTTTATTAACTAGTTATCCAAAGGTGGTTAAAAAGAAAGAGAGAGAGACCTTTTCAGGAAACCAGCTAGGTCAAAGTTATTTTCATAATAATGTTGAGACATTATTTGCTATCTTCACTTTCATATTCTTACAAGTACACACTGAGCAGGGTTTTCCAAAGACTACATAATATGTAATTTCACAACAGTTTGGGTAGATTTCCCAAAATATCAGACAATGCCATTCTTTTCAATTAATTATTTTGTGTCTGAAAAGTTACTTTATAGTTATGCAGATAGACATAAAGATATATAGTTCTAGAAAATACTTTTCATGTTAACAAGTTTATAATTGTTATTTTTGAAATGAGCCATTAGCATTTTGATTTCTTGGTTTTGATTTTTGAGCATGGCAACTATTGATAGCTATAATCCACCTATACAGACGTTTCGGGGATTCTCAGTCTTTATAAGCTCTTAGAAGGGTCCAGAGACCAGAAGGTTGCGAACTGCTGAGCTAAGAAACGGATCTCAGAGTTCAGCAGTTCTCAACCAGAAAAGATTTTGCCCCGTTGAGGCAAATGTTTGAAGACATTTTCGGCGATCACAACTGGCATCTAGTGGAGAGAAGCCAGGAATGTTGCTAAACGGCCCTCCCCAAAACAAATGAAAAGCCCAGCCTCAGATAATGTTCAGGGTGTGGGGGTGATGTACCCAGTAGCAAGAAAACAGCTGATGCCACCCTCTAGTGGCCAAATGCAGAAACAGACTCGACACTAAAAATGTACAGATGACACAAATATGATTTTCCCCTACCAATTTCCTTACAAAAGTAGGATGCACCTTATAAATATGGCCATGTGTGGTATCATCCACTTTGGTCTTGACAGGAGTAAATGTACAGTATTGCCTTAGGTACCTCCAGGAGAGAGAAAATAGCAAACATGAAGGTATAAAATGCTAAAATGGACAACAAAATCTGGGCCTAGAATTGTTGGAAATGACTCAAATCAGCTGTTTCAGTATTTCCAATTGTACTGGGATGCTCTCACAGTAATACAAACTGAACTGCGTGTCGTGTTTTTCTGCAGGACACATGGACAAATAGTAATTAAACAACCCTGTCATTGTTGATTTTACTTGAGTCGGCAATATTCCCAAAGTGCCTAATACGAGGCAGGCTCTGAGCGACTTCCAGTCTAGCCAGATTGTTTTTCCTTTATGAACTGAGCAGGTAGCTCAAGAGTTAGTTCAAACTTAAATGGGAATCTGAAGGGAAATTAACGTCCTTCATCCCATAATCTGTCCTTCCTTGGATGATGTGGTGGGCCTCACAGTTGAGCCAGCAACTTACACCATGACTTGGGGGTCACAGTAGGCCTTCTCAATCGCCTCCATGGGCTGGAGGTTGGTCCAAGTGCCTCCGGTGAAACTCTGCCACAGGTAAGGAAGGTGGAAGTGAACTTTCTTGCAACTTTCTACAATGATAGAGAGAAGGTCATGAGGGTCTGTTGGCTGGCGAGGATCAAAGCAATTCAACCATGTTCACTGCTGGATCCCTCATCAAGGCCAGCCCCATACCCCGCCAGACCTGCAAGCAAGCACATTTCCATCTCAAGAAGCTCCCACCTGTACCACACAATTCTCTTATCTCCAGCTCCCTTTGTTATCCACAGGGACTCATGAAAATCAAAACCTCCTTTCTTCCCCACAAGTCACTTCACCCACAGGGAAATGTGAGGTCAATAAAATGTACAATGAACCTTTCTGGGACACCCCACCCTCAGTGGGTATAAGTACACAGAATGCTCTGGATCAGAGCTGACTGCACTATCCTTGCAGGCTGGGTTACAATTTTTCTCATTCCTAACAATCCCCTCTCTAATCTCATTCTACTCTGTTTGGCCCTGGGTCGTGCAGCCCTCAGCCAGTCCTCAGTACCTGGTGTGTGCTTTGTTTATGCATTTGCTTGGTTTATGCAGTTTTCTCACTTCTCACTGCTTTGATGCCCCCCCCCCCATAATTATAAAGCCATTGACGAAAAGGTGGAAACACAGTGAGCTTACTTCTCCCTGGGCAAGCAAATGGGAGCCGTAAACTGAATGTTTGCTGTCCAAGTATTCATGGGATAAGTCAAAAGACAGACAATAGTTGTGTTTTTCAAGATTTGCATCATTGCATTTAAATCATTTTGATTCAAAAGATGTATGATCTTAGAATCCAAAAAGAATAAGGGGAGGCCTGATGCGAAGTTTAAAGAAGATACATGTAAAATTATTTTTCATTGTGGCTGACTTATAGAAAATGTCACTATCAGCCCTCACTGGTGGCGCCTACAGGTTAAAGCGCAACATTTTGAAGCTCTCTGCAGCCGCCCCAGCACGAGTTTGATCCCCAGCCAGGGAGCTGACCCACATGGCACAGCAGACCTCTCCTGTTTCACCCGCTGTTCCCCTCGGCAGTGTATTTCAGTCCATCTGCCTGTTCTGGTCCCACTCTGTCTCTGGTGAATCCTCTCACCCCCTGCACCTCTGGCCTGCACCCCAGGTCTTGTATGCATAAATAAATAAATCATTAAAAAGAAAATGTCGCTATTACTATGACTAAAGTCTCTGCCTCTAGAAAGTCTTTAAGTTACTCACGAAGTTGACAGCCCTTGGAGAGATGGTCAATGCAAATTTCCATTGTGCCATGATTATCCATCTGGGAAAATGTGGTACTTCTAACTTCACCTAGAGAATCTGTAAAATAAAGAGGCCTGAATGCCAATCTTAACATTTCCATCAAAAATTAAGATACCTGGTGACTCAGCGGTAAAGAAGATCAGAAACTGGGATCATGTCAAGAAAATTCCAGGGGTTACAAATGGCCACTGAGAACCTTGATGGCCCTCCATAGAGCCAAGGTGAGCATGGGGGTCACATGAGAGGGGCGTTCATTTCTTAAACCGAGTTAAACACCTCCCATTCTCAGCAAATGGAACAGCTTAATTCATTTGCTTCTTCTGATTGCTCTTTCCACCTTCACGCATCAGCCTTCTCCTGTTACAGTCCCTTCCCCCAAACCCTCCAACTCTTAAGTCCTAAACTGGTAGGAAATAGCCAAAAGGAGACCACAGCCCCATCTACTCAGCAACAGACACAAGACACGGGCCCCTTGGGTTCTCCTGTGAATCACACGGAGCACAGAGTGGATGTCCCCCACCCACTTCTATGTTCTCTGGCAGAGTTAACGAGATTTGAGCATCATTCTACACTGTACCTCCACTCCTCAAAGGTGGCACCGAGGGCTGACCTGCGGTTCCCAGATTCTGGCTGCTACGGTGTGATGCATCTTTATCCACTCTGGTTGCAGAGAATAAGCCAAAAGCATCAGTTTTATCTCCACCAGTAGCTTCCTCCGTGACTTTTCTAGAACCAACTGGTACCTTATGAACACACGTGCTAACGCTACACACCGTCTCTCCATCTTTCCTGTTAACGAACACCATTCCTAGTGCATCAGGGCCACCTGGAATTCTGCCAGTGACCTCAGTAACCTGACTCCAGGGTTCTATTTTCTTATAGAGGGCTATGTCGTTGTAAGCGGAAGAACCCGTGGAAGTTCTCTCTGTGGCTATTCTACCCTGGGCATCGTTGAACAGAGAGAAGTTCTTGTTCTCTGGATTCCCACTTGTGGCTATATGCTCCAGAGACATGCTGTTCGGGTTGGTTCTTGCTGCAGGTGTTAGCGGAGAGCTGGGAGAGCTGAAGGCAGCCTGGCTTGGAGAAAATGCACCTTCTCTCCCCGGGCCTTGGCCATTCAGCCAGGGCAAGGATCCCTTCCAGTTGGAAGTTGGGGTTGGGCTAGACGGGGTTGCATTTCCATAAAAGATACTCTCTGAACTGCCATTCTCTGATGATCTCTGGCTTCCTTCCACTTGACTTTTTCTTCCAGGACTGGCTGGCTCTGAGAAGCTGGATATCTTGTCACTTCGCAAATTCGAGAACTGGTGGGTGAGGTCCTTCACATCTTCTAGGGAAGAGCTGCAGCCTATCGGATCTGGACTGGATGTCCTGGACCTCTGAGCAGAGGCTGATGGAAAGAATTCTTGATCTCTGAGAAATGGCGGGTTTCGGGCCCTGTTTCTGCCTCGAGGTGCCACACCCTTGTGGTGTGAGGGAGGAGCTAGGACAGCAGAAAAAAAAAAGAGACAAATGACCAATTTTACAACCCTGCATTCACTCTTTCTCAGTTATGCCAGGTTTGTGTCCAAATTTATTAAATATGGGGCATCCCTGGTGGCAAGGGACTTGCTTGTTCTCACAGATTTATGTTTATGCATGTAAGGACTGGGGTACAGGCCAGAGGTGCAGGGAGTAAAAAATTCCCCAGAGACAGAGTGGGGAGCAGAACAGGTCAATCTACTGAAATACATTGCTGAGGGGAGCAGCAGGGAGACAGGAAACGTCTGCCACGCCATGTGGGTCAGCTCCCTGGCGGGGGATCGAACTCATGCTGCAGTGGCTTGGGACAGCTTCATAGTGCTGCACTTTAACCCACTGGGCCACCAGGGAGGGCAGAGATCTTCCTGTTCTACTCCCCACTCTGTTGCTGGTGAATCCTCTCATGTCCCCCTGCCCCCGGCCTGCACCCCAGTTGTTGTATGCTTACATTAAAAAAAAAATCTTAAAGCAGTGGGAGAAGGAAAATGCATGGGACTATGGTGATGACACATGGGTGATATGGTTATGGGAAGCCCAAGGGGATTGAAACTGAGACGGAAAAATGCACAAAAATGATGTAAAAATAAACTATTATATTACTTAAAAAAATATATTTTTAAAATGTATTAAATTCTTTGTCTGTAATAGGTATGCTGCAATTCTGAGGAAAGTATTACTGCTTTTCTCTGGCCCAACAGAAAAGCCTGCGCTTTCTGGCTTCTCTCCTGGGACTCACATGTATCCCCAAACTCTGAGGCTGGGCAGTCCACCAACCCCTAGTTTGGATCAACAGTGACCACAGTGGTGAACAGAAAACAAACCAGGGAGTTCTTTCCAAACATCATTTTGATTTAGTCCATTTTAAGCTCCATCATGCCTAATGATTACTGGTGGGTCCTACTGAAAAAGAGCCGAAAATGAAACTCCAGTCTAAAGATATCACTTCCTTCACTGCGGAAATTTTCCCAGAATTCTTCATCTATCCCAAATGCCCAAGTTTACATGAGTAATATCAGGAAGAATGGTCTCTCTAAAAATCTGATAAGTCAGAAAGAAAAAAAAAATTAACCATGGAATCAAAATGCATGAAGCCTTGAAAACATGACACTTATTTAATCACGGTATTTTCCTTCAACGTTCTAAAAGTGGATTCAGGCTGCTTGCAATAAAATGTCACTTAAAATTTCTGAACCTCCGTTCCTCTTTCATTAAGGCTAGTAATATAGCCTTCTTTCTTCATGGTTTTGCTATTAAGAACATAGATAAGAAATTTTTAGGTGAAAATCCTTGTAAACCACAAAGCATTTCCTCAAATGCAAGAAGTTATAGTTATGTATTAACTCTTACAGAATCTTATTTATGTATTTTATTTACTTCATAAAATTCATCTCTTCTATATCCACTTCATAAAAACTACAAGTATTGGGTCCTTCTGGTGGCATAACAGGTTAAAGCGCAGCACTATGAAGCTGTCTGCAGCCACTGCAGCACAAGTTCCATCCCCACCCTGGAGGTGACCCACGTGGCCAGCAGACCTCTCCTGACCCACCCTCTGCTCCCCTCAGCAGTGTTCTACCTGCTCTGCTCCCCACTGTCTCTGGTAAATCCTCTTACCTCCATGCCTCTGGCCTATACCCCAGTTCTTGATGCATTAACAAATAAAAATAAATCTTAAAAAGAAGCAGGAATGAAGACTATAAATCAAATGGAGCATTAGTGCTGTGCTTCCTGTTTCAGCTCAATTGTGGTCATATAAGAAAACGGCCTGTTTGAGGCTGCCTGCATACATGGAAGGCTGTAACCGCAGCAACATGGTGTATGTGTGGCCTATCTGTACCACAAGAGAAATGCTGCAACCACAGCAATATTGTATCTGTGTAGTCTACAGGAGCCACAAGAGAAAGCCATAAAATTGTCGCCAAACATTACGGCCTTGTTTTTTGTGTCTTAAAATAAGTTTTACCAGTTTTTAGAAAAACTGACAAAACAATTTTTTTAACCCGGGGGGTGGGGATGGTGGGATAGTGCTTAGCATGAAAATCAGACTGTAATAATCACATCCATGCTATGATGATATTATGTAAAAGCTGCATTTGCAAATGACTATGCGAGGGAGCTTTAGGTAGTGAGGAAGTCCTTGAAGTAAAAACTTGTCCTTGTTCCCCATTTTGTTCGGCCTATTAATTTCAAAAGTAGAAAGCATTTACCTCTCCAGCCAGAGGGCTTCTTGTGGAGATGCTTGCTGTTGCAAATGTCCTGGATGTTCTGGACCACTTCCGGGCTCAGGCCATGTTCCTTCATGATGTCCAGCACCTTTCTGTCCATCAGGTTATGGGACCTGAGGCAATTGGGGTAGCCACAGTTTCCTCGAGTGAAGTGTTCGCAGATGTGGAGCCTTTCACAAAGTGGCTGCTGGGCACAGATCTGTCTTCGGCCTTCTCCTTTATAACTTTTGCAGATCTACAGGACAGAGAAGCAATTAACAGACAAAACAGCTTCCTGGAGCTGCTACATAGGCAGTAAAGCAAGAGGAAGTGTACAAAAATTTGGAAGCCAGGGCCCTCCCTGGTGGCGCAGCGGGTTAAAGCCCAGCAGTATTGAGGCAATCCACAGCCACTGCAGCACGAGTTCGATCCCCGGCCCCGGAGGTGACCCCTATGGCACAGCAGACCTCTCCTGACGCGCCAGCTGCTCCCCCCAGCAGTGGATTTCAAGATCCACCTGTTCTGCTCCCCACGCTGTCTCTGGTGAATCCTCTCATCCCCTGCACCTCTGGCCCGTGCCCCAGTTCTGCATGTATAAATAAATAAAAATCTTTTAAACATTTTTTGGAAGCCAGCAAATATTCTCCAGATGGAGAGGAGATGCACATAAATGGTGGGCTGAACAGTTCCCCGCTATCTCAAAGTAGCCCCCTCCTCTTCAGCATGATTTTGTAGGTGATTTTGGGGGTCTGGAAATACTCAACATTTTTCCCCATATATATTAGTAGGAAAAGCATTCCCAGGCCCCACAAATATCCCACCAAATAGAGTCTACTTTCAGATAGCACAGGAAACCTGTATCCAACTGATAAATGTCATCACCCTTCAGAAGAATCAAAATATATGGTCAGCCTACATTACAGAAGTCCAAAGTGGGAAGTTTTGTTGTTTTTTTAATAATATAATAGTTTATTTTTCCATCATTTTGTGCCTTTTTCCATTTCAGTTGTAATCCCCGTGGGCTTCCCATCACCCAGTCACCCGTGTGCCATCACCATAGTCCAGTTTTTTTTTTTCCAAGTAAAATAAAAATACAGAGCATCAAAGAAGCAGGACTGAAGATGATTAAATCTAACATGAGTGCTGAATTTCCTGTTTCAGCTCCATTGCGGTGATGTAAGAAAACGGCCTGTTCTGAGGATACAGGTAGGAAGTCTGATGATGTCTGCATTTACTGAAGGCTATGCCCACACAATATTGTTATGTGTGGGGACTATATGTACATATACCTCAAGATGGGTCCATGGGGTATTGTTTGATGACCCTTAGTCTAGCTATCAAGTGTCAAAGAAATAAAATTATATCCCACACAAGCCACTACATTTTGGGGTATGTTTGTTACAATGACTTAACCTATACCTACAATCACTGGACCCTGTCATCTTCCAAAATCTTGATTCAAGCCCACCCCCTCCTAGGCTGCTACCTAGATATCTGTGAAGTATCAGTTAGTCCTGCCGCTCTGCCTTCTGATCACAGTTGTTTACACAGGGTTCTTATAAACAGGAAGGAAATTACTAGAATCTCTTAGGGCAGCAACAGCCGCGACTGCCATCTGAAGACCTGCCCTGACTTGGAGTTATTCCTGCTCCTCCACCATGACACAACACTGCCTAGTATGGTCTTTTAAAATTAAGGCATCATGACTTACCTCAGGCATAAAAAAGGGGTCGCTTTGGATGAGAAGCACTGCTAATTCCTCTTTATTAAGTCCGGAAAGCTCATGATCTTTCAGGATTTTGAAGTTTTTTTCTGAGAGAATATCATGAGAATATTTGCATAAATTCCTGAAAGAAAATGTAGCTATTATCAGTGTTGCCACTTCGCAGAAGAAAGGGCATCAGGGAAATAAGCCAGCGAAGCTCAATGCCCATTTCCTTTGGTAACCAAAGCAGGTTGGTCCTGCTTAAAGAACACCTTAAAACTGGTGAAACAGCTAGATAAGGGGAGGGGAAATGTGAATATTTGGGGCACAAATTACACACAGGGGGGGTCTCCCTGGTGGCTTTGCGCAGCCACTACAGCAGGAGTTCAATCCCCAGCCAGGGAGTGACCCACAGGGCTCAGCAGACCTCTCCCGTCTCCCCGCTGCTCCCTCAGCAGTGGATTTCAGTAGATCCACCTGTTCTGCTCCCCAGGTAACCGGGTGCACCCAGGAAAAGGGGAGGTTCCAGATTCCCTCCCCCACCCATAAGGAGGTTGGAGCTGAGCAGAGAAGAGAGGAATCTGGAGAGGAGTCTGAAGAAGGACGTAGAATGGAGAGCCAGAAGGAGACCTGAGGAGGCCCCTGAAGCCGAGAGACCTGTGGAGAAAACTGTGCTTGCTTTTTGGCCCTGGACTGGTCGAAACAGATGTGGGTGAGACCTGTGGGGAGATGACTATGGCAGTGTTTATCTTTATTTTGATTCTGCTCTTTTCCTCCCAGACTTGTCTGGTCATTTCTGACCCTTTTCTATGGGTCCCGGCCAGAAAATGCTTTAGTCTAGCGGCAGCTCTCAGGCCTTGCTTTGGGCCAATCCCTTTTGGGTGGACTTTTACCCACGAGGGGATGGGTAACTTTGGGTGTTTGATTTCAAAACTATATTATCTTTTCTGTATTGCACACTCATTGTATTAAAGTTTCTTTCCATTAAAGCTCTTAGGTCTTGTCTTGACACGGCAGGTGGCGGAACCTATTTAGAGCAGGCAGGGTTGGGGGTTCAGTGGTGCCCCTCTTCCTGCCCTGTAACACCCACTCTGTCTCTAGCAAATCTCCCCTTTCCCATACCTCTGGCCTATATCCTAGTTCTTGCATGCATAAATAAATCTTTAAAAAAAAATAAATTACACACAGCATCCAACTTTTTCTGCAGAGACAAGGATGGAGATTGCTGGCAACCAGGGCAGGAACTGGGAGACAGATGTGTGTGGAGAACCCCCCTGTCCTCCACCTCCACTCCCCAAGCAGCTGCAGGAGCCCGGGAAGACAGGAGCCCGGGAAGACAGGAGCCATGGAGGTGATGTCTATGCTCTCAGCAGCCACCTCAGCCTCCTGGTTCTACAAAGAAACCTAAACCTCAAGGGACAAGTATAGGGTCTGCCAGCTGAGGATGTATTACAGGGCAGGGAGAATGGCACCACTGAACCCCCAAACCTGCCTGCTCTGCCATCCACCGCATCAAGACAAAGCATATAAGACTTTAATAAAAAGGAACTTTAATACCGTGAGTATACAAACACCTTAAGTGACCCATCCCCTCATGGGCAAAAGTCAACCCAAAAGGGATCGGCCCAAAGCAAGGCCCGAAAGCTGCCACAAGACTAAAGCACCTTCTGGCCGGGACCCATCGGAAAGGGTCAGAAATGGCCAGATGCCGGGCCCGGATCACGGGCTGTTGAAAGGCAGACACAGGCAGATCCTCAGGTGGGAATGACAGATATTTTGGAATATCTGCGGCGAGCAGATATTCCAAAAAATGGAGGGCAGAGGGGAGCCGGCGTGAAGAAGACACAGGTGTCAGGGTTGGGTGCAAGTCTCCCTGCTCTGCCTTCAGCAGGTTTATTTTATACATTTCAGGCAAGCAGTGGGGTGACATTAGCATATGAATTGGGCTGAGATCAAGATCACCTTTTTTCTAAGAATAGTCTGGGATTGTATTGACCTTTAGTTGAGATTATAACATTTTTTAAATCAATCTATAGAAGTTAAAACAGGTACATAGATTTCACAAAGACTAATATTACTATATTTACCACAGTGAAGAGTAACCAAAATAAAGTCCCTTAAACCTTATCTACTATTTACTGGCTGTTAGTCTCATTGACACATCCTAGTTGGTAAAGTGAGGGCAGGAAAAGGAAATTTTCTTGTAAATTAAATTACAAAAGGAAATACAGTAGGGTTCTTTGAAAACTAGTTAGAAAGTTTAAGTGGTGAATTTTTTTGAAGTCTCCACAGTAGAAAACCTAATTAGCTCTGAATAGGAGACTTGGGTGAATTTCCTTATCTAAAGACTAGATAGCAGAAAGTTTAAGTAGTTCTTTAGAAACTGAATAGAAACCTACCTGGGATAGTAGAGTGGTGAGATTTGGGTTTTCCTCCATCAGGGCAGTAAAAAATATGTTCCAGTACTGCCTTAATATTGACTTTGCTATAATAGCCAATTGCTTTTATTAATCAGCCAATTGTAAAATCACTTCTGACTTCCAGAGGAATTCCTCACCCTGGGGTAGCGCTTGCTTGTCTGGGCCAGGTAGCGCCTTAGGAGGCTGAGGCAATCCAGTTGTAAACTGAAGGTTGCTCAGAATATTCTGGTATTATGATTATACAAAAAAGGGAAGTCGTAACATAAGTTAGCATGGAAATTCTGATTTTTCAGAGCATTTCCCCTCCATCCATACCATGTCTGGCGATAGAAGTTGTGCACAGCTTTGTGTCAGCCAGACAAGTGTGGGAGGAAAAGAGCACAATCAAAATCAATATAAACACTGCCATAGTCACCTCCCCACGGGTCTCTCACCCACATGGCTTTCAACTAGTCCAGGGCCAAGAAACAAGCATGTTTTTTTTCTTATGCCTCCCTTTGCTCAATGTGGCTTCCTCAGGCCTCCTTCTGGCTCTCCATCCTGTTTCCTTCCTCTTCAGTCTCCTTCTCTTCTTCTCTCTGCTCAGCTCCACCCTCCTTCTGGGAACCTAGGACTTCCCCTTTTCCTAGGGACCACCCGGATGTGGATGTGGCTGCATGAAAGTCACCATCTCTGTCTGCCCTCAGCCCCACAGTCACACAAGAAGACAAGAACATGAAATTCCAGGAAAAAAATAAAATGAACAAAGGTCTCCAGGTGAAGACTTAACTGTTTTTGTTTTGCTCTTTGCCCAGATAATCAGAATTACCTGCATTATGGATGCGGCATGTGTTTGTTTTTGTTTAATTTTTACCTAAGATGTCTGTCCTTAGTAATGACAAATGTGGTTATTTTCTTGAGAATTGAAATCTTTCTTTAAATAATCTTTCATTGCCAAGATATTAAAAACATCTGTTTTCACTATTTTTTTCTCACTTACTTGTCACTACTAAACAGGGGCAAATGACTGCAAAATTAACATTTTGAACTTGGTAATGAATTTTTAATGTAAATAGGTGGCTAAAAGTTATTCTCTAAAAATGAGTCTTTTAGACACTTATTCAAATGTCTATGCCTTTAAGTCATTTCTGAAACCCTCTGGAATTGACTTAGATCTAGCTGTGGAACCTGATAATTAAGAAAAATCACAGAATCAACGATCATGTCCATTACCACCCAAGCCCCTGGCTTCAAGGAGAAAAGTCAAGGGAGGCTGGTGACCATCTTTGTCCTAGCTGATGGAGAAAATAGAAAGGTGGCATCACAAGATTGACTCACACGGGGAGTAGAGAGTAGAGGGGATTAGCATGGCCATAGAAAACAGAGGGGGAAGATCCAAGCTGGTAGCAGACAGCAAAAGGTCAAACATAAGGCGATGGAGCCCATTGTGGGATCTCCTGTCCCTTTCAGATTCTATTCAAAGTCAACAAACCTAGGCTCACACAGGGTGGGCCCTTCCCAAAGTCTCCATCGGGGCCACAGTCCTCAGCCCACCTGTGAATATGCAGGTGCTTCTTCCCACCTCCTCTCTCCCTCTGCAGGGCAGCAGCCTCCTGCCTGCCCATGACGTGACGTGACGTGACCTGACCTGAACCTGCGGTCACCTGCTGGGGCTTCTCTGCACTGACCTCCTTCAAGGAAGGCCGCTCTCCAAAGGCCACCCACCTGCAACCACACAGGCCTCTCTCAGCAAACCTGTCCCTTCCAGGGCACCTCTCCCTGCCCACTTGTGCCTATGCAAATGTCTAACACTCCTGTCCCTTTCCTTAGTAAACCTGCTTTTCACATAAACTGAGTCTCTGTCTCGTGAAGTTCTCTCCTGGGAACTCGCCATTTGCCACAGGAAGGGGGCCTTTGGGGAAACCTTTCCCAGAGTGAACCCAAGGACCCCGCATTAACTCCAAAACGACACCACTAACCGTGTCCCCAGGTGGGCCCTTCTTGCTGTCTCTACTCAATGCCCCTGGCTTCTAGTGTGTTTCTAGAACTTCCTGCTACAACTGACCTCAGTTTTCTGTTAGTTTGGGGGCTCAGTACGTGGTTTCAAATAGCAGCTTCCTAAGGGAGCTCTTAGCAACTGGGCTAGCACTCCATCTGATCACTCCCCCAAGCTCCACTGGAGGGATGGACTGAAGAGATACAGGGCGGCAGGCCCAGCTGTGGTAAGGGCCCAGCCACCAGCCCATGAGGAAAATGCCTCCATTACAGCAACACCAGATATGCATGCGCCTTGCGAGGCATTTTCCCCTGTGTTCTGAGCGGTCAGTGCCAGGAATGTGCTGTTAATTTGGGGCTGAAACCGACCTCACTAACCACCCAAATGAGGCAATATTGACAACAGCAAGCGTCAGGAATGAAGAACTTTGCCTCTATTTGCTCTAGTCCAGACACCCTAAACTAAGAGCTAAGACAGTGGCACCTCCCCAGAGGGCAAGTGAGGATCACAGATGAGACAAAGGCCCTACCCTAGTCACAGAGAGGCGGAGTTGTCAAGCCTGGCCCAGGCCAAGAGGAGCGTGGCGTCTCTCCAAGTTCCCCAGGCCCGCCATTAACTCTAAACCGCCAAAAGCTGACCAGCCTCCGTGCGCATCTCTGCCTCAAACGCTGTGTCCAGGTCTTTCAACACCCGTGTTAAGCTTGATAAACAAGTCCACCTACGGGGCCTCCCTGGTGGCTAGGGTTT